TATGCTTTACCATCTTGCATCTTTTGAAAATTCAAATTTGATGGCCTTATTATAGGCACAATGAACCAAAACATCCAACAACTAAACTGGCAGCATTGAAACTTGTTAACCTCTGTAATTGAACTGTCCGAATCCAGATACAGAGAACTGGATTACAAAAGTGTCAGAATGTTTTTTTCCTTATTCTAGTTGGAAAAGGATACAAAGTAAGAAATTTTGCTAGATAAAAGCAACAGCTTGGTAATAGATTTACATGCTAGGCTGGCTTGGGGAAACAGAAAGGTGACTCCAGTTTTCTTGCACAATGATCTTCAAAATGCTCGTGCGAGGAAAAAACCTTTGATGCAATACAAATAAGTTGAAAGCAATAGGTTGAAAAGGTTACCCATTTCAGGAAAACAACGTATTTAAGTTCCAAAGTGGAATATTAGAGATATTTCAGCTTATAGATACAGATTCAATTCTTGTTTCCTATGAACCTCCAAATTTCAGCCATTTTTACAACTAATAGCTTAGTCTATGGACTTTTTTTTGTAAGGTAATTTTGTATTAAAAGCAGTACTTAGGTAGTACTGAAAAAAACAATTTACAAATGGAATAGATATTGAATATACCAGATATGAAACCAAAGCTAAATGGTGACTAGGACATCTAGGACTGATTCAGTGTCAATAGAATACAGTTTAGTACACCAAAAACAGAAAAGCAAAATGCATTTTAGCTTAATATCCTGTACTAAACTCCTCCTATCCTCAAAACATCTATCATTTCTTTCCTTCCAAATAGTCCACCAAATACATGATGGAATGATCCTCCATCTCTCTTTGTTTCCTGCACCCGCTCCTGCTTCCTCCCAGCTAAAAAGAGTGTCACCAATCTTGTTTGGCATTGTCCAGGCTATGCCTCTGAGATTGATGAAATCTTCCATAGTTGATATGTAATACTGCAGTGTAGGAACAAATGGTTTACTATCTCAGCTTCCTTTTCGCAAAGGAAACATCTAGAGCAGAGAGCAATATTCCTTTTGATCAAATTTTCATGTGTCAAAATTGTTTTTTTAGCTAGAGCCTAGAAACCAGGTGAAACAAGATACTTTGTAAGGTATCTTAGTTTTCCAAATATGCTTCCAAGGCCAGTTAGTAATATGTGGCTCTACCTGGTTCAAAATCCTATACCCTGAGTTGACCTTATATGTTCCACTTACATGTCCACTCCACCATAGGCAATATGCACCTTCTTGCAACCCTTGAAAACAATTCTCCAACTGCTTAAACAGTTCCGTAAGTCTAGGTATCTCCCAATCATTCAACATTCTTCTGAATCTAAGGTCCCACCGTTGTTGTGTCCACATCTCGGCAACTGATTTATGTTGGTCTAAGGCTATAACAAATAAATCTCGGAATATGTCTTCAAGGCTCATTGTCCCAATCCATTTGTCTTTCCAAAAACCTAGTCTTGTTCCCATTAACCACTCTGATGTGGGAGTGATTTTTGAGAAAAGTCCAGTAGCTTCTGATAGTCCTCCAAAGATTGATTCCATATGGAGTATTGACCTCCTTGGAGACCCAACTGTCCTCTTCCCCATACTAGCTCTTTATGACTCTGCTCCATAGTGTTTGAGGTGCCTGTGAATAACTCCAGAGCAATTTAAGCTTCAAAGCTTTGTTATGATGCTTCAAATTCCTAATTCCAAATCCCCCTCGTCTCTTCTCTTGCTTCTGATGATTTCCTTCCACTTGACTAGGTGAAAAGCTCTTTAATCCTTATTCCCTTGCTAAGGAAGGATCTCCTGACCTTGTCCAGCCATTGAATGACTCTAGGAGGGATTGGAAATAGGGACAGCATTAAGTAGGCTAAGCATCCAAGACAACATTAATCAAAGTGAGTCTACCTCCGAGGGACAAATACTGAGATTTCAACCTTGTCAATTTCTTCTCACACTTTTCCACTACTGAGTCCCAAATTCCTTTGGATTTAGATTATGCTCCCAAAGGCATACCTAAGTATATCCAGCCACCACAAAGGTCTCCAATATGTCGGAAAATTTCATGCAACCATAAGTGAAGAGGTGGCCCAATCGCTCTGATCCAAGACATTTTGCTCTTCTGTGCCACCGGTGTGTACCCAGCTATAGGGTTGCACCATTCTAACCAAACCCTAGGTTTCTTCCAGGTCCACCCTCCTTGAAGTGTCTGCTCAGCCATATTCCTACTGGGGAATTCAAAAAGGAAAGTATTGTCTATCATCTCGTAGATGTTAACCCAAAAACTTTCTTCCAAATTAACGATGCCCATTTCCTAACCTCAGAGAAGGTAGGCATCTCAGAGCTAAGATTGCCGATGTTTCCTGTGATACATCTTCCAAGCACCACCATACTCAATTGTAGCAGTAGTGGAAAATCTCTTGCCTTTTGCTTTCTGGAACTTCAGTGGTATATACTGTCCTCAACAACCTTGGCATACGAGTGGTTAGTATCAACCATTCTGTGAGGAGCTTTTAATGTTCTTGGTGATGAATAATTAATGAAGTTTCCTATCTTGAGTACAATGTCTTTCCAACCAGCACTAAAAGCTTTTGGCAGTATAACTACTGCTCTGTCTGCTCCTTTTAGAGACAAAAGACTCATAAATCTTCCGTGAGCATTAAACTTCCTTGTATTAAAATACTCTGCCATTTGGTCCTTCATTCTCCATCTCCTCACAAGATTCTTGTTGTCGTTTGAGGCTTCTTTCAGGACAAAACAAATCCACTCCATCACTTTTTTGCTGAGAGTTATTCATCTCATCCTATTTCTACATCGCTCCACCCAATCAAACCAGACTTCCTTGCCAGATGTCGATACGGTAATATAGAATAACTTGAAACCGGCGTGGAAATAAATCCTATTTTCCCCATGTCTGTGGAGGGAAACTGAGGTGAAGGAAGGGGGAAAGCCATCACAAAAGAAGATAGCTGAGGGGAAGGATGAGGTTGGTAGTTCTCAGGCGACCTGCTGGAGAGAGGGTACTCTCTCTCTCCTAGAAAGTAGGAGATAGAGAGTTTTGCGGAAGTGTGCCGGAGAGCATTTTTTACGACAGTACATCATCTCCTATTTAGTCTATGAACTTTTGGAAATGAAAAACCTCAGGAGCTTTTCCTAAACCCATATTACTTGGTTGTGGGCAAAGACTAGATTGATTAAATCCTGCTCTTAATTGAAAACACAGATTCATTTAAATAATCCAAAAGTTCACCTCTTATGAAAGTTGTTGACGTGTGTAACTGTCTCATAACCATCTCATCTAAAAACATAAGCTTTTTGAAGCACACTTAAATTATTTAATTGTATTCTCAACAAAAATAAGGCTACTTCATTTTCAAACGAAAATGCTAATACTCATCAGAAAATTGTAATCAGGTATCAACAAACAAATGTGTAGACATATACATTAGGCAACTCATATCTAAACACATTTTAAGGATGCACATTGCATTCATCTCCATATGCTATGATGCCCAATTTTAGAATTATCATTTAAGTTATATTCATAACACAAAAAATTATAAATTAGTTCATTTAAAATATTTTTAGAATGCAAAGTTCAAAGTTGAGGTTACATATAAATGAAATACATTCATTTTCATCTGAGTTTTAATCATATGAATAAACTGAATCATTTTTGCTTGAACTTAAGTAAAGCTAAACGTTAATCATATATAATTTAGGCACCACATACCTAAAGTTATTCAGAAATAGATAAACTTTAGTCATATATTATTGAGATGTCCTCCAAGAAACATCTTTCAGAGCTAAAATTGTTTCATAAGATGGAGCTATGGTGCATAATGAAACTATTGAAGTGTGTCACCATCTCATCTAAAAGCTTAAGTTGTTAGAGAGAGCACACTGTTATTATTTAATTATATTCTCAACAGAAACAATTTAGATATCTATTCTGAGTCTACCAAGAAAAAGGTATCACAGAGAGGGAGCCAAATAAGGAGGTCTAAAACGAAAAGAATCCTAGAACGGTTCCATGCGATAAAAACATAGTTCAGGATAGAATTATTGTGTAACAAACTATTATACTGCAGTAAATTGCATTTCTAAGATGTTCAACATGTTCATAAGATAAATGTTGTCAAAGAACTGATGTTAAAACAGATTTAAGATCTTATATGGACAACACTATTAGACACAAGTATATTGGAAAATGTCAGAACTTATTACATCTAACAGAGTGCACTTAGCACATATAGAAGATAAAGTTAGATGGCTTCCCCATGTGTTGAGACCTCCAAAATGCACTGGTTTATAGGTTTGACAACATGATAAGTAGGATTTTTAAGAGGTGAACATAAGTCGCATGGAGAAAAAAAAGTTTTCAATCCCTGAAGTCTTTTGAAATCCATGTTGACTTGGTTAAACAGAACACAATCAAATCAAGATATTTGCATGAGTTATGCCAAAAGTTGAGATCCAACTAGTCAGTAGATGCCATAGAGGGATGTGTGGGAGATTTAAGAAACCTCTAATTTGTCTTTTAAGACCTAATTATTCAGTATAGGAATGTAATGGACCTGAATAAAACGAATGGATATTGAGAATTCATATAATAACTGACCTCAATGGTTTCAGAATTGAAATAATAGTTGATTGAATGATGATAAATGCAAGTGTGTAGACACGCATACACATATAAAAGGTGTATGTGTATGCCCATTCATGTGCTGCAGAATATCTTCACTAGGAAAGAATAGAGAATCAGCAGTTAAAAGAAAAACCTAAGAAGCAGTGCCTGTAAGAAAATTTTCAATCATAATTTAAGTTCTTTTAGATTTATAGCAGGACTTAAAACCTCTAGGATCGGAGAACTGTCTAATCAGGAAACAACATTGCACTCTATACCAAAGGAAATATCTAGAGGAAACTGTAACTAACCCAACACCCCCTCCCCAAATCAGTTAACTGGTATGATAAGCTGGCATGAACAACAATTGAGAACAAAGTGAATTAACACAAACTGCAAAAACTGAGAATGATCGCATTTAAATATATTTCCATCTGGAATAGGAAATGACATATTACAAAGGATGAACCAGAATGTCTCCAGACATTCCACTTCAGCTGTTCCTAAGCTTGTTTCCACCATACATCATATGATAGGAATGTGTAGGCATTTCATTGCAATTCAACAATAGAGCCAATCACTCCATACCACACTAACATATATAAGAAGCAACACAGCGGATATCATCCAAACCAGTTCACTAGTAAAACTAAATAAGCAATAAAATGTAGGAATAAACCTGATAAACTAAATCTACCTCACGGACTAAACATAAGCGCATCAACACGAGAAGAAATTGTCTTGAGAAACAAGACTATATGAAACGAATCTAAAACTCCACCGAAACAGTATCAGAACTTGTAGCATCGAATAGAACATGATCCATCAGCATCTAGTTACCTCTCATTGCATCAACCACCAATTTGTAATGCTCCGCAATAAAATCTAACCGCTTCACCATCAAGGCAGCTTCGTCATCCTCCAGTTTCTTCCACTTCTCCTCCAACTCTTTAGCCTTGTCAGTAGCAATCAAACTCATCTTCTCCTTCAAGTAACTTGTTCCATTCGGGTACATTGTAGACATGCCAGCCATGCTTTCAAATGATGCAGCCAAACGTGGATATTTGGACTGGAAGTCCTGTTCATCACCCTGAACTATATCCTCCTTAGCCACCTCTTTTACAGCAACCTGTTTCTCTTCTTCCTTGTGTTTCTGCAAAAGCTGTTGCCCCATCGAAACCAGCAGCAAAGAGGCCGCAAGAAACCTAGAAAGAGAAAGGGAGGAAGAAGCTTGAGATTGCAGAAGAAGCTGTATCAATAAATAGAAAATTTTCATAAAATTACTTACCATATTCTTAGATTACGTATATTTTGAATATAAATGTCTATTCCATAATTTTTATTGGTCATTAATGAGATTATTAATTATTATATTTCGAACATTGAAGTAAGGATATCATCCGGTCACGCTGGGACAATCTGATTCATAAAAATGTGGTCACACAGTACTCGGGCAAACCGTAACTAATGTTAAGGGGTGGGAATTGGGCACGGGGAAAGGATGTCCGGCTCAGAACCATACCTTTGTTAGTGTAGTTAACGGGATAAATGGGCCAGATCGGATTTACAGATTGGATTTCGTGTTCTTTTAATTTCTAATAATAGCATTAACATTTACATTTACATTTAATAGAACCAGTTGTTCAGTTGTTGCCAAATTTTAAAACTGAGTCGCTGCTTAAAAAAATGTATATACAAGATATACATAAATGTACAATAAAATCATTAAGTATGTGACCATCTCATCTAAAAGCTTAAGTTGTTAGACAGAGCACACTTCTGTTATTTAATTATCTTCTCAAAATCATTCCATACCTTTTAAAGCAATCCTCTTTGCACCTAAATGTCCATATAATCTTATTTCCATTAGCAAATTAACAAAAAAACTTAAATGTGTTGTAACCTTCTTTGATGATTCTATTCTTGTGCAGGATCGGAGTACGGGATATGTGATTGGAAAAGGACATGAATCACAAGGATTGTACCTGTTCTCTATCCCAACACCATATGTTGCTTCTACTTCCGCTATTTCATCTGAATTACTCCATAGTCAATTGGGTCATCCAAGTCTCTTGAAATTGCAAAAATCGTCCCCAGTTTATCGAGTTTATCTTTGTTAGAATGTGAGTCATGTCAGCTTGGAAAGCACACTCATGCCTCTTTCCCAAAATGCATTGATAATAGAGCCACCTTTATGTTTGGAATCATTCATTCAGATATATAGGGTCCAAGTTGTGTCAGTTCTTCCTTAGGCTTTTATTTTTTTGTTACTTTTATTGATGATTGTTCTTGGTGCACGTGATTATTTTTAACAAAAAGTAGATCTGAGCTATTGTTTATTTTTCAGAAATTTGATGTTGTAATTCACAATCAATTTGATATTCCATTAAGAAGTTAATAAGTGATAATGTCCGAGAATACTTTTCTACTTCTATCTCTTCTTTTATGTCATCTCAGGGCATATTGCACTTGTCTTCTCGTACACATACTCCTCAACAAAATGGAGTTGTTGAGCGAAAGAACAAAAACAGCTCGAACATCGCTCATTCACAACTATGTCCCTTTATGTTTTTGGGTTGATGTTGTTATTAGTGCTTGTTACTTAACCAATCGCATGCCTTCATCTATTTTGCAGTACCAGAGTCATTACTCAGTCTTCTATCAGGACCAAAGTTTGTTTTCCCTTCCTCTACATATGTTTGGTTGCACCTTGTTCATAACCTTACCCCCCGAAAAGATAAACTTCAACACAACGCCTTCAAATTGTGTCTTTCTTGTGTATTCTCGTCTACAAAGAGGATACAAATATTTTGATCTCTCTACCAATAAGTACTTGATCTCTGCGGATGTTAGTTTTTTCGAGACTTCTCCGCATTTTCTCCTAATACAGAAAATAAGAAGGCCATAACAGCACTCCAACTTTTCCAACCTAGCTCCACCTCCAACTCTTAAAGACTATTCCCATTGACCTCAACCTCCTTCTGAACTTGCTAATCCAGTTAGTATTTCTAACTCTGATACAGGTGCACAAAGCAATCTTGGTGACTCATTACCCACTCCAACAATGTCTTCTGCTCAGAGAGAGCACACCCTCCAACTCTTGAGGACTATTCCTGGCGACCTCATCGACCTCAACCTCCTTCTGAACTTGCTCATCCAATTGGTATTTCTAACTCTAATATAGGTGAACAAAGCAATCTTGGTGACTCATTACCCACTCCAACAATGTCTTCTGCTTAGAGAGAACACACTTTTATTACTAATTATATTCTCAACATGCCCCCTCACGTACGGACAGGAGGGCTGCATTTTTCATGGGACACGCACGTGAAAATTCTTTTTGATTTTTTGGGTGACAGTGAGATTCGATCTCAGGACCTATGCCTGTCCTGATATCATATTGAAGTGTGTCACCATCTCATATAAAAGTTTGAGCTGTTAGAGAGAGCACACTTTTATCATTTAATTATATTCTTAACAAAAATAATTCAGATATCTATTCTGAGTTTACCAGGAAAAGGGTATGACGCAGAGAGAACCAAATAAGGAAGGTTGAACGGTTCCATGTGATAACTACATAGTTGAGGATAGAATAATTATGTAACAAACTATTATACGATAGTAAATTGCATTTCTAATATGCTCAACATGTTCATAAGATAAAAGTTGTCAAAGTATTAATGTTAAAACAGATTTATGATCTTATCAAACTGTACAACCCTTTTTAGACACAAGTAAATTAGAAAATGTCAAAACTTATTACATCTAACAGACTGCAGGACCACAGGTAGCACATATAGAAGATAAAGTTAGATGGCTTCCCCATGTGTTGAGGCCTCCAAAATGCACTGATTTATAGGTTTGACAACACATAACTAAGATTTTTAAGAGGTGAACTAAGTCACACGGAGAAAAAAGTTTTCAATCCCTGAAGTCCTTTGAAATCCATGTAGACTTGGTTAAAAACAGAACACAATCAAACCAAGAGATCTGCACGGGTTAGGTCAAACAGTTGAGATTAAGCTAGTCAGTAGATACCATTAGAGAGATGTATGGGAGATTTAGGAAACCCCTAATTTGTCTTTTAAGACCTAATTATTCAGTATAGAAATGCAATGGACCTGAACAAAACAAATGGATATTGAGAATTCATATAATAACTGACCTCAATGGTTTCAGAATTGAAATATAGTTGATTGAATGATGATAAATGCAAGAGTGTAGACATGCACACACAATAAAAGCTGTATGTGTGTGCGCATTCATATGCTGCAGAATATCTTTACTAGGAAAGAATTGAGAATAAGCAGTTAAAGGAAACACCAAAGAAGCAGTGCCTGTAAGAAAATTTTCTATCATAATTTAAGTTCTTTTAGATTTATAGCAGGACTTAAAACCTCTAGGATTGGACAACTGTCTAGTCAGGAAAAAACATTGCACTCTATACCAAAGGAAATATCTAGAGGAAACTGTACCTAACCCACCACCCCTTCCCCAAATCAATTAACTGGTATGATAAGCTGGGCATGAACAACAATTGAGAACAAAGTGAATTAACACAAGCTGCAAAAACTGAGAAAGATCGCATTTAAATATATGTTCATCTGGAATAGGAAATGACATATTACAAAGGATGAACCAGAATGTCTCCAGACATTCCACTTCAGCTGTTCCTAAGCTTGCTTCCACCCATACATGGCATTATATGATAGGCATGTGTAGGCATTTCATTGCAACCCCTTAATAGAGCCAATCACTCCATGCCACACTAACATATATAAGAAGCAACACACGGATATCATCCAAACCAGTTCACTAGTAAAACTGAATAAGCAATAAAATGTATGAATCAACCTGATAAACTAAGTCCACCTCGCAGACTAAACATAACTACATCAATGTGAGAAGAAATTGTCTTGAGAAACAAGACTATATGAAACAAAATCTAAAACTACACCAAAACAGTATCAGAACTTGTAGCATCAAATAGAACATGATCCATCAGCATCTAGTTACCTCTCATTGCATCGACCACCAATCCGTAATGCTCTGCAATCAAATCTAAGCCCTTCACCATCAAGGCAGCTTCGTCATCCTCCAGTTTCTTCCACTTCTCCTCCAACACTTTAGCCTTGTCAGTAGCAATCAAACTCATCTTCTCCTTCAAAAAACTTTTTCCATTCGGATACATTGTAGACATGCCAGCCATACTTTCAAATGAAGCAGCCAAATGCGGATATTCGGACTGGAAATCTTGTCGATCACCCTTAACTATATCCACCTTAACCACCTCTGTTACAGCAACCTGTTTCTCTTCTTCCTTATGTTTCAAACATCCTTGGGTTTGCTGACTTTAGCACTTTTCTTAGGTTCAGAACTATTCTTAACCTCAACAGTATTTTTAGCTTTGCCATTAGTGCTATTGCTAACAATCTCCTTAACTCCATTACTAGTTCCAGGGGCACCCCAAATCCTCTTTGAATGCTCAAAAACAACAAAATCCTGACCCTTCATGAAAACTGGCTCCTCATCATCTTTCACATTAGTCAAAAATTTCTTCTTTAACCTCCTTACCTTGTCACGGAGTTGACTCTTTGACAATTTAGCTTTGATTTAATATTTTTTGGCCTTAAGAGATTAAAGTGATTTACAACCATTTTGCCCAAACCATATTTGACCAAATCCATATTTACCCAT